CCTCCGCGTCGGGGCCTTATAGGCCCGGGCCGGTTTTGGGAGCCAAGCCACTGGAAAACCCACCCTGGCATTGGGGACACGGAGACCTCAGTGACCTGGTGGCAGCGCCCACCACGAGCTTCCCCTGGCTGGAGCGTGGGGTAAGGGTCAACCCCCTACCTGCTGTAGGACCTGCCACACCATGCAGGTGGTATCCCGGGACCCAGAAATGAGGTAGATGCCACAGAGGTCAAGCGCCAGGCAGGTGACAACATCTGTGACACCCAGAGCGACACCATGAGGTGTTGATCCTGTCCCACCGCGCTCGGCACCCCAACCCCGTGGGATGGCACCAAGACGTGTTTTGGGGTGTGGAGATGCTGCTAACCCTAACCCCACCCCGGCTCTGAGATGGAGCCTGGGCTGTCCCTGGAAGATGGGAGACACTGGGAGATGTCCCCTGCCCACTCACGTGTCCCCTGCCTCCCCCCATGGCCATACAAACCCATCGGGGCATCATCGGACCTTCATCATCGGAGGAGGACATACCTATGTGCCGGGTGATGTGCCCAACGACTTTCCCTTTGGCCAGCGAGGTGACGCAGAGGCTGTTGTCCCAATGTCCCCCGCTGAAGAGCAGCTTCCCGTCGGGGGACACGGCCAGCGTGCGGGAGCAGAGGTCCGCGCCGGGGGCGAAAGGGCCCTGCAGGAACCGCTGGGTCCTGGTGGGGAGGGACATGGGATGGTGGCAGAGCCATGGGTGGGCTAGTGGCCCACCTCAGGGACCATCCGTAGGGACCATGTGCCCGACTCACTTTGCGTTGGAGACGGTGGGGTCTTTGGTGAAGCTGAAGTAATTGGAGATGTTCTTGTCGTAGGGTAACCAGTTATGGGTCCCCAACAAGCCATTGGCACTCACGGTGACCTGGGCAGAGATGGAGATGGAGGTGACACAGCTCCCACCACTGGAGCCCTCCTGGGGTTTGGTTCCGATGCCCCTGGGCTAGCAGCATACACCCATGCCTCAGTTTCCCTGCACTCACCAGGACGTCGGGTGATCCCTGAGTGATGAAGGAGTGCGCCTGGTTCTTGGGGACCACGGCTTGCACCAGGGCCACCCCATCGCTGATGCCCTGCAGGAAGACAGCAACCGGTGGGCACCCTCCTGGCCACCACCACCCCCCACGGGTCCTGGCCAGAGACCCCCTGGGGTTGTCCTCACCTCCACAAAGAAGGACTTGAGCTGGTCCAGGTTCTCGAAGACGTTGGGTGAGCGGGTGTCGAGGCGGGCCAGCCTCCGGGCAGCGCTCTCTGCTGACAGCCGGGCGGGATGGGGTTCCTGGGGGGGGCGAGGGAACCCATGAGATGGGGGGTAGCTCCCCAAAAGGGGCTATTTTTTTGGGGTGGGGGTATGAGCTACCTTGAGCAGCTGGCAGGGCGTCTGCCCAAAGTTGCTGATGATGCCCTCCAGAGCCTTCCTCTGCGTCTCGTTGGCAATGGCGTCCAGGTCCACGGCCCCTGGGGATGGGGGTGGTCATGGGGGGCCATCCGGCAGGTGCCCCCCCACCTCCCTGCCCCACGGCTCACCCTCATAGGTGCAGTAGTAAAAGACATTGAGGGCCTCCACGGCGGCCGGGCCTCGTTGCTTGTACCCAAAAATGAGGTCGATCCACTCGTGGAGGTGGGCTGAGACATACTCTGACTCCTGTCCAAGGATGGGGCATCAGGGTGGGCCGGGAATGCCCACCACCCCCCTGTAATGACCCCCGCAGGGGTGGGAGTGGAGGAGGGATGGGGATGGGCTCCACCACCTCACCAAGGCTTTGCGGTGCTGGTAGATGAAGTCCTCGTGGGAGCGCGCCCACCGGGGC